ATGGGGCTGTGTGATGTTCTTCCTGCTGATGGCACCTTGTATGATTGCAAGCCAAACCTTCTTTGCGAATCCTCGGCACAAGAAGTTTCTAAGGGAGCACCAAGACTTTCCCCAGACCAAAGTTGTGGGGCAGAATTACTGCATGGCTATGATGCAACAAAGGGGCATGTCCAGGCCCTGCAAAACCACCAACAGTTTTGTCCATGCCCCTCACAACCAGCTGAAGGACATCTGCACCTGGGCTGGGACCCATTATCGCAGAGCTTTGAGGCTCAGCAAATCCGTCTTCTCTGTCACCACCTGCAACCTGCAAGGAATGTCACAAGGCCAGTGTCGTTATTCGTCTCAGACAGGACAACGACAAATCCTTATCAACTGTGATTCTTCCGGTTGGCCTGTCCATTTTGAAGAGAGCAACTTCATGTAGAGTCGATCCACTCAAAACTACGACAATATACTTTGGGTTATTTCATAAGAGTCGATGCAATACGAGCCATAATCCTTGCTTCCCTTTTGTATGTATAGCGTAGTGTTCAAAGAAATGTTCATCTGGGTTAGGTTCTAAGTAGGAAGAAAGTCACTGGAAAAATGGAGACTGCTTGGAAAGATGATTTTATGGTGAACAGGACCACATGGTTTGAGGTCCTGGGCAAAAAGAGCACATGGGTGAGAGAGAGAGAAAGAGAGAGATTTATACCCTCCCTTGGGCCCCGTATTGTAGCTTCCTGTTTCTGTGTAAGACATGCACTCTGATTGGTTGTCAGTCTCCCATGGGGCCATGCAGGGGTAACTTTGTAGGTTGTCTTGAGTTGAATCTTGCTTGGTTGAATCTTGCTGAGTGATGCAATCTCCCCAGGTGCCATGTGTTGAGTTCTGTTGCTAGATGGGTAAAGGGCTAATCCTATCATGTTCTGAGGGCCATGTCTTAATCCCATCACCCTGGAGCTGAAGGGGGGTGGGGCGGGAGGGGAGCTGCTTTGTCTTTAAAACATGTTTCTCCTTTTCTCATCCAGGGAAATATAATATTCTGCCTTTTTAATATTTCCTAAAGTATTTCATTCTTCTAGGAGGGGGGTGGGTGCTAACTTTCTTCAGTGGTGTAATACAACACTTCCTAATCTCATGATATAATGAATCTGGCAGGCCAGATTATCCCATAGATTTCTGAATCTGGCAGGCCAGGTTATCCCATAGATTTCTGCAAAGTTCCAGTTCAGAATTGATCTGAAATTCGACGTCTGGGTGGAATTGACAATTTGGGTTGAACCATCATATTCAAATGTACAGCTCTGAATTAACATTTCAAAAAGACTTACCGGTATGCCAAATTGATCCATATGATCTCAATTGGTACAACTGATCTGATGTATAATATGGAACATTCCACATAGGCTCATCGATTGGGATTGGGGTCATTTTACTTCTCTCAGGAACAGTTCATCTCTATCCAGAAGGGTTCAAGGACACCTTAATCATCTCCCCGATATTTACAGGTATCCTTTGACAAATAATATCTGAGAATATATGAGAATTATGATCCCTGCATGTAAGAAAAACCTCTAAAATCTATTCTTTTGCTCATGATGATGGGTGGAGAAGAGGAAGGGTTCTGAGAATTAAATAAAGCTTGTTTGGGATGGAATTGAACTCCTCTTACTCAAAAAAACCCTACAAGTTCCCCATTTGGGAATCTTCTCCAATTCCAAGTTTCACAAGATGTGTTGAGCATTCATCAACATGACAAAAGCAGCATTGCACTGCAGGTTCCTCCCCTTTAATAAATGCAAGTAATATCACAATACATCTCCCAAAGGGGTGTGCTTTCTGTGCAATGCTGTTTCTATCCTTTACTCAATTTTTTGAAACAGAGAAAGAGGCTCTATTGAAACTGCCCCCATCTATATGCTTAATTATTGGTTATTTCAGAAATAGGCAAGGTCTGTTTCTGAAAGCAATCTTTGAAGGATCCATACAATTATATACAGACTTAACTTCGGGACATAAAAGTTAAGGTTCAGCTATAGGGAAATTGCAGTAGACATTTAGCAAAGTTTTGCTTGTATCCTTGATAAAATAAATAATGGAAATGATTGTGATCTCTCTTTTTTATGAGAAGAATTAATTACAGGTAATCCTCAACTTACAACAGTTCATTTAGTGACCATTCGAAGTAACAACAGCACTGGAAAACGTGACTTATGGCCTTACTTACAACCGTTGCAGCATCCCCAGGGTCACGTGATCAAAACTGAGACTCGTGGGAATTGACTCACATTTATGACGGTTGCAGTGTCACGGGGTCATGTGATCACGTTCTGCGACCTTCCGACAAGCGAAGTTGATAGGAAAACCAGATTCAGCTAACAACCACGTAACTAGTTTAACAACTGCAGTAATTCACTTAACAAATGTGGCAAAATAGGTCGTAAAGTGGAACAAAATTCACTTAACAAATGTCTCACTTAGCAACAAAAATTTTGAGCTCCATTGTGGTCGCAAGTCGAGGACTACCTGTAATATAAGAAGCATAACTGGAGCAGTGGTGAAATCCAAATTTTTTTACTACCAATTCTCTGGGCATGGCCTGGTGGGCGTGGTGTGGCCTGGTGGGCGTGGCAGGGGAAGGATACTGTAAACTCTCCATTCCCACCCCACTCTGGGGCCAGCCAGAGGTGGTATTTGCCAGTTCTCCGAACTACTCAAAATTTCTCCAGAACTTGTCAGAACCTGCTGGATTTCACCCCTGAACTGGAGGAAACCTTTCTTATTTTTCCAGCTGAATGCACATACCAGGAATTCTAAACTGCTCACGTCATGGATTGTTTTTATGATTTGAGAGGTCACAATTTTGTCCAATTCCAGATGGCTCAGTCTTGGCAAATAAATCACTCACTCAAGCAGCTGCTTGCCAAGTTAATTGCATGGACAGATTCCACAACAACAGATTACATCAACCTCCTCCAACGCTTATGGCGTGCAATTGTTTTGGAAAACCAGATGGTGCAGCTCATTTTCAAAAGTAGAATTGGTCAAATCTGGCTTGCAACCTGAAATCCTCTCCCTTTGCCACCCACACCTCCTCCTTCCATAAGCATAACTCACATGTATACAGGCTTAACCTTGAAACTGCATTAGCCATTTTTCTGGTTTTGCACAATGCATTGATCTAATCTATTCGCTCAGGTTCCCACAATCCACAAAACCAACAGAGGTGAACTACTGGGAAGCATAACCCAGGACAACATGTTGTGTGAAGGCAGTGGCTAGGTTTTTAACAGAGAGGCTTAATTGGGAACAGACTTTTAAGACGAGATCAAAGAGATAGTTTTTATCCAGGGGACAGCTAAACTGTACACAAATCTCCAGTTCTTTGCTGCCATCTAATGATCACGTCTATAGTGGCCAGAGTTTAACACGTTTTCTTGGAAGCAATACAGGAAACAGTATGCTATTGCCTTCTTCCACAATTTTGTTTTGCTTTCCAAGCATACACTACAGATCTGGGCTTTTCCTAGTTGTCTCCCATTCAAATATTAACCAGGTTCTATCTTTCTTTTTGTTTTCCCAGCTAGGTATGGTAACAAAATGTAAATAAACCAGGAAAAAATCCTGGAAAATCTAAAACATGTCCAAAGTGATGGAAATATTTTAAATATTCAGAGTATATAGTCCATACATTATATAGGAGTGTATAGTTTTGGTGTATAATTTTTGAATCATAAGCTAGGTGTGTGTGTGCAGCGGCAGCCAAAAAAGCCAATGCAATCTTAAACTGCATTAACAGAGGGATACAATCAAGATCAAATAAGGTACTAATACCACTCTTTAAAGCCTTAGTAAGACCACACCTAGAATGTTGTGTCCAGTCTTGGTCACCACTATAAAAAAGATGTTGAAACTCTAGAAAAAGTGCAAGAAGAGCAACCTGGATGATTAGGGGACTGGAAACTAAAACATACAGGAACTGGGCATGGCTGGTCTAGTGAAGAGAAGGACCAGGGGAGACATGATAGTAGTGTTCCAATATTTGAGGGGCTGCCACAGAGAGGAGGGGGTCAAACTATTCTCCAAAGCACCTGAAGGCAAAGAAGAATAGATGGGAACTGATCAAGGAGAGATTCAACCTGGAGATAAGGAGAAATTTTCTGACTGTGAGAGCAATCATCTAATGGAACAGCTTGTTTTCAGAAGTTGTGGGAGCTTCATCACTGGAAGCTTTCAAGAAGAAACCGGACTGCCCTTTGTCAGAAATGGTGTAGGGTCTCCTGCTTTGGCAGGGGTTGGACTAGATGACCTACAAGGTCCCTTCCAACTCTGTTGACCTATCTATCAAAAAGCTGTAACTAACTAAACCTTGGATGACTCAAGACAGTTTGGAGGATTTATATTATATGGAGTGACTTTACAAAAACACCTAAGATTAAAGGGTTAGCTTGTGAATCACTCTCTGGGGAATTCAGTATTGCAATAATATCTTGAATTATTTCAAAAAGAGTCCTTCTTCCACCCAAAAGCAAAGAAAACGGGGTGGGGGAAGAAGAGAAACTGATATTCCTCCCCACTCCCGTCTCCTTCGCCCACATCTGTTGAAGGAAATAACGGGGGAAAAAACACTTTTCGAGTTTTCTCCAAAATTGCGCGCCTCATATGCAAATGAAGGGCCGGGATAGCATCTGGTCAACCAATGAATGAACCAATCTGAAAGATTTATGCAAATAAACCCCCATGCAGTAGTTAAAAAAAAAAACAACGCGGCCGCCCACGGAATCTTAGGGAAGGATGCTGATGACGCAAAGGTGGTTCGACAACCAATCAGCCGTTCGGGAAGAATTTGTGGCTGCCCCCACCCCGAAGTAGCAAGGTAACGCGAGCGAAAAGAGACGCGCAGGCGCTTTTCTGAGTGTTTCTCCGATCCCTTCCCAAGATGGCGGCCGCGATGAGTTTTTTTTCCAAAGGGGCGGGTGTATTATTGCGCCTGCGCGCTGAGCAGCAAGTTCCTTCTGAAGATGGCGGTAATAAAACATTTACGGGTAGCGTTCGCGCACGCCGGTTTTACTCCTTCTTTAATAGTCAGAGTGAGACTTTATTATTATTATTTCTCTCTCTTTCTCTCTGTTTGATCCTTCTTAATTAATTGGTCGGGTGAAGGAGGAGCGGGCGGGCTCCAATGAGTTTTAATCTGGATTAAGGCGAATTGTATATCATTCAAATTAATTCAAAAGCAGGGACTCTTAATTATAATAACCGTTAAAAGGGAATTAATTAGGGCTGTGCAGATAATAGCCGTTAAAAGGGAATCAGCGGTATCCGCCGTGTGGCTATTTCTACCGCAAAACGATGTAGGCGAGACTGTGGCTGATGGGTGTTTTAGTCCATCCTTCAATGAAGGCGCTGGGTTGGAAGTGATAGCTGGGAGGTGGGGAGATCCCAAATTTGAAAGCGGAATGGGCCATGGAAATCTGGTTGAGACTTTCCTTTTTAGAGAAAAGTTGGGATATGAATGCTTTATATTAAATAATTAATATAATATAATAATTATAATTATATAATTATAATATAATGTAATATAATATAATATAATACATAATATATATTATAATATAATATAATTAATATAATAATATAATAGTTTCATGAGAACTACTAGAAACTGGGTGACTGTGAGTTCTAGTCCCTCTTTAGGATGAAAGCCAGCTGGGTGACCTTGGGCCAGTCACACACTCATCCCAACCCACCTCACAGGGTTGTTGCTATGGGGAAAAAAAGAGGTGTGTTGGGTATGTTTGCCATCTTAAGTTATTTGTAGAAATAAAGGCCGGATATAAATAAAGAAAGAGATAAATGGCTGAATGATACTGAGGGTGGTCATAAAGGGCTCAGGATTAACAAGAAATATATAGGAGCTGCTAAATACAGGTATTCCTAATTTAGAACCACAGTTGAGCCTGAAATTTATGTGGTTAAGTGAGATATTTGTTAAGAGTTTTGCCCCATTTTACGACTTTTCTTGGCACGGTTGTTAAGTGAATGACTGCGGCTGTTAAATTAGTAACACAGTTATTCAGTGAATCTGGTTTCCTCATTGAATTTGCTTGACAGAAGGTCACAAAGGGTGATCCTATAACCCGGGGACACTGCAACCCGTCATAAATGAGAGTCAGTTGTCAATCACCCGAATATAGATCCCATGACCATGGGGATACTAAAGTGGTCATAAGTATGAAAAACGGTCATAAGTCATTTTTTTTCAGTGATGATGTAACTTCGAACGGTCACTCAATGAACTGTTGCAAGTCGAGGTCTACCTGTATGTTAATCTCATATTTCTACAAGCAATTTTATGTATTAATGTTACTTTTCTTCTGGAGTTAGTCATGTGCCATGCATCTGAGGAAGATGGGCAGTTAAGAAATATGAAATATGAATAAATAAATTGATGTGTGTTTTCAATCATAGCCTAACATTAACTCTGATCCTTCAGTTGTTGATAAAAGTGAATTGTTGGTGCAGCCTCTTAAAAAAGAAAGATGGTCAACGTGATATATAGTTTTCTATTTTTACATAGATATTGATAGGTATTTGCTGCCCAGAGTCATGAATTTGAGATAGACAGCTGTGTAACTTGGAATAATAAAATAAAATCATTGGTATTTCCAAGGCTATCAATGTTTCAGGTCCAAATTAGCAAATGTTCTAAACAAATATTTTGCCAATCAATGCTTTCAGGAAGGAATTATTCTTTTCACAACTTCAGAAGTTTTAATAGTTAATAAGTGGATTTGGGTATTAACTATTTTCAGCTCCAATTTTTCACGCTATCCCCATTCTTTTGCCTGTTAAATAAGAATTATTCCAGGAAAACAATTTCTTAGGAGAACAAGAATCAGTTTTAGCTTCTGTTCCAGAAACATAGCAATGTGGTAAACTGGCTTTAATTCAGGAATACAGTTATACTCTAATCATAATTAAAATCACGTACACTACTTGCTGTGATTTCAAAGGTGCAAAATAATAACTTTTAATTGTTTCTATTGTAACAGAAGTTAACGTGTGCCCAATGACACATTGGAAAGTCAGAAAATTACAATCTATATATTCTTCTGACAGCTGCACTTTAGAAAGAACAGAACCTTGTACAGATAGTCTTCAACTTAACAACCCTTCATTTAGTGACCATTTGAAGTTACAATCGCACTGAAAAAAAATATGACTTCTTTTTACACTTGCCACCATTGCAGCATCCTCATGGTCACATGATCAAAATTCAGATATTTGACAACTGGCTCATTTTATGATGATTTCAGTGTCCCAGGATCATATTATAATTTGCAATGTTCTAACAAGCAAGATCAGTGGGGAAGCCAGATTCACTTTACAGTGTTGCTAAACAACTGCAGTGATTTGCATACAACTGTGGCAAGAAAGGTCATAAAATGGGGCAGAACTCACTTAACAAAGGTCTTGCTTAGCAACAGAAATTTTGGGTTCAATTGTGGTCAAAAGTTGAGGATTACCTGTAATTCTACATGATTTTTCCCATTTTGGGATTTGTCTATCTTATGACGAAATCTTAAAACTCTGCCCTAAATTTTTCTTTCTTTCTTTTTTTTTATTTTATCTTATACATCCAACAAACATTAAATCTATAGCGGTCTACATCACAACGCGAGAAGGAAATAAACTTGTCCCATTACATATATAGGATAACGTACAAAAGTCTATTACATATACCAATTGACATGCTTATCCAGTATCTCTATAGCTTGATTTGACATCCATTTATACAATTGACTCCAAGATATATAGTAATCTCTGTCCCCCCGTCCTTTCAATAACATAGTAAGCCAATCTGATTCCGCACAATTCATTATTTTCTGAATTACTACTTGTTCGGGTGGGCTAACATCCATCTTCCAGTATTGGGCCCATGCCAATCTTGCAGCTGTTGTTATATGCAGCAGCAGGTACCATGCCGATAAATTTTTCTTTCTTGTCTCCTTGCTCAGAGGTTGGCGACCATTGTTCCCAATGTTTCTCAAGTAGATAATTCTTCAAATTTCCTAAACAACGTTCCTCACCGAAAACACCCAGGCATCCTCCATCTCAAATGTGTGAAGCTTCCGCCTGAGTTAGTGCAAGCAGTTTCCTTTTGGGTAGCCCGTGAGTAAAACTTGTTAAAGATTGGATTGTCTGAGTATATCAGCTGGTGTCTTGGTTGAAGGTATGCTATAGGTAATCTCAGATTTACAATCGGCTGCTTAGCAACTGTTAAAAATTATGTTGGACCCCCCCAAAAAAGTACATACCAGTTAGATTTGAAGTCATCAATCAATCAATCAGAATAGAGCTGGAAGGGACCTTGGAGGTCTTCTAGTCAAACCCCTGTTCAAGCAAGAGACCCTATACTGTTTCAGACAAGTGGCTGTCCAGTCTCTCAAAATCTTCCAGTGATGAAGCAACTACAGCTTCTGACAGCAAGTTGTTCTGGTTAATTGTCCTCACTGTTAGGAAGTTTCTCCTTAATTCCAGGTTGCTTCTCTCTTTGGTTAGTTTCCATCTGTTATTTATTGTCTTGCCTTCTGATGCTTTGGAAAATAAGTTGACCCTCTCCTCTTTGTGGCAACCTCTCAAATATGGAATACTGTTATTATGCCCCCCCCCGTCCTTCTTTTCTCTAGATTAAACAAACCCGACTTCTGCGATCGTTCATTCATATGTGATTACATTTTGGGTGCTTGGCAACCAGCCCACATTTACGGCTGTTTGCAGGATACTACAGTCACATGACCAAAATTTACAACAATTTTTGGTGAACTGGTGTTTACTTCCGTAAAATCTATTGCAGACATGATCCATTAATAACCATGGTGATTTCCTTAAGTGCTGCCACAAAAAAAAAAAAAATCATGAAATCAGATTGGTCACATGATGTCCCACTTAAAAACCTGTACAACTTACAACCATAATTCTAGAGTCAATTAAGTCCTAGCCATACAGTTCCGGAAACTGAAATGACAGGGTGAATTCAGTGATCCTACTTGTTTTTCAGTTTGGAGAGTATTATTTCTCTATTCTTTCACTTAAATCTATCCCTATAGTTTCTTTAGCAACAACGTTGAATTGGTTTACCATTATCTTCTGGGATGCTTTTTAGATTTCAATGGCTGTCATAGAACCCAAAGAAACCTCCTTTGGTTTCTGTCATAAGTCTTGTTCTTTCTCCCAGAATCACCTATACGCGATCTGGAGAAGAAATCCAAGTCTTTTAGCAACTACCTCTGGAGCCGCAAACGCCCGGTAGAGTTGAAAGATCTGCGTAAAAAATCACAACTCCTGGAACAGAAGCTGAGGAAGGATGCAGAAGTCCTGATCCAGGAGAAAGGTGAAAGTGGGGTATGAATGATAGAGAGAAAACAGAAGCAGCCAGAAGCACTTTTTAATTTTTATTGAAGTACGATATCAAAAACATACAGGGTAATTACAAAGAAGAGTTGGGAGAACTGAAAGAAAACTTGAGGAATAGCAATAGTACTTAGACTTATATACCACTTCACAGTGCTTTACAGCCCTCTCTAAGCGATTTACAGAATCAGCCTATTGCCCCCAACAATCTGGGTCTCATTTTACTGGCCTCAGAAGATGAAAGGCTGAGTCAACCTTGAGCTGGTCAGGATCGAACTACTGGCAGTAAATAGTGAGTTAGCCTGCAGTACTGCATTCTAACTACTACGCCACCATGGAATAGTTTGATATGAAATCATGGGGAAAGAAATATGGCCAAATAATATGTCATTTATAACAATAAACAGTTACTATTCTATATATAACTCTAGTCCAAATAAGATTTATGTACACATTGTTAATATATTTATATGACTTTATTCTGAATTCTATATAAATGAGTCTCATATTTCATTATACTTGCCTATACAAAGGCTACATCTCTAAATAACTAGCTCATAGGTGAAAAGTGCAATCAGGGCCTCAGTTCATTGAGGGAATTGATTCATTCATTCATCTTCCTAATGCTGCAATATTAGCTTTTTGGCCATAGTAATGTGCACAGAAAATCTGTTTATGTTGTCCAACGGTCAAATTTCATGCACCAAAATTATACAGGTAGTCCCCAACTTGTGACAGCAACTGAGCCCAGAATTTCCATTACTACGCAAGACAGTTGTTAAGGGAGTGTTGTCTCATTTTACGACCTTCCTTGAACATTTTGATCATTAAGCAAATCTGGCTTCTCCTATTGACTTTGCTTGTCGTAAGCCAGCTGGGAAGGTTACAGATGGTGATTAAGTGACCAAGGGACAGCGCAACTGTCATAAAATACATGCCAGTTGCCAAGTGTCCGAATTTTGATCACAAACCTGTGGGGGTGCTGCAATGGTCATAAGGGCGAAAAGCCACTTTTTTCAGTGTTGCTGTAACTTCAAACAGTCACTAAACAAGTGACTGCAAGTTGTGGACTACCTGTAATTTCAAAGAATATTATTCCCTGAAAATTTTAGAGTTTTGTTGCACAATTTACGTAATCAACTTCTTTCTCCCTATGTACAGGACTTTGTAAAAACATGTTTTAAAGAAGCACTATCCTTATTGTACCTCCAACAAAATGCTGTTTTTGATAGTCCTTTTCTCTAAAGATGGAGTCCAGTAAATACTAAATATTAGAATGTTAGTTTTTCCTCACTTTGACAAAATACATGGAGATCTTGGCCATTCTCTGTCAAGACAGTTTATCTCATGGAATTGTTGAGCCCCTGCAGAAAAGCTGAGCTGTGACTAACAAATAAATTAAAATAAATTCTGGAGGAAAGTTGATTGTTTTCAATCAGGATTTTCTGCAAAAACAGAGCAATATGGAGGGGCCAGAATTCCGAAAACCCCCATTTTGCTGAATGGTCTTGGATCGATCCTACCTATCAGGGCTGATTGTGTAGATAGAGCAGTAAGAGGCTGAGCGATGATGTATATTACACTCTCTTTGAGAAAGGGTGAGATAAAAATGTAATAATTGTGACAATAGTATACTTTCTCATACATCTTTTTTAGGTGGATCTCTAGATGAAAGCGATGAGAAGCTAAAGCAAAAAGTTTTGACTGCTATTCGTAAATCAACCTACCACTGGGAAGAGTTAAAGTGAGTGTTTACAACTCAGGATTCTGATTTCTGGAGGAAGACGTAGTTGACCCTTCTTGCTTTAATCTCTTTGAATCAAAGTCCTATTTTTCTTTTCACATAGTTCCTCCCTATTATTATGGGTGTTGGTGTTACGATGATGATTTAAACTTTGCCTGATTTCAGAAGAACTTTTGGCTGTTTATACTTTAAAAAAAAATACAAACCTCTTCTATGTACGATGAAACAAAAGTGGAAGGGACTCACCAGTGGTGAAATATAAAATTTGTTACTACTGGTTCTGTGGTGTGACTGGGTGGGCGTGGCCAACTTTTTTTTTTTTTACTTTTAAAAGCATTTTTTCTACAACCTCTTCAGCTGAAGAGGTTGTTAAAAAATGCTTTTAAAAGGCTCTGATGATCCCAGCTGAGCCATGCGATCATCTGAGGCTTTTTTTTTTTTAACTTTTAAAAGCGTTTTTTCAGCTGAAGAGGTTGTAGAAAAAAAGCTTTTAAAAGTAAAAAAAAAAGCCTCTGATGATCGCGCGGCTCAGCATGGCATGGGCGGGGCGGGGGACAGAGATTTTTACTACTGGTTCTCCAAACCACCCGCCGCCATCGCTACCGGATTGGCCGATCCGTTCCAAACCGAGAGCATTTCACCCCTGGAACTCACTCTCCTAAGGCCTAGGAAAAAAGCCAAATATTTATTATCAGAATGAGAGCTACATCATTCTTTGCTCTGTATATGTCTGCTCTTTGCTTCCACTTTATGGTGGCTATTCTCATGACTAGGTGACTTCCGCTTAGCTGTATGGTGAGAAGTATCCGTGTAGCTTTCTTTTTTTGTACTGACCACAATTGCAATTTTTCTTTCTCGAGATATACCGAAGAGCTCAGCTTTATATACATGGTCAGCCGGATGGATGCAAACTATGCAGCAGTGAGCCGAGCTTTCCATGAAGTAAGTTGCAGCAGTTGCTTCCAGAGGGCAGTGGGCAGGATGACGTTGGAAGACAATCCAGCAGGACTTCACGGAGGGAGCATGGTGATAACGCCAGGCTTAGAATCCTGTCACTCCTCTGGATGTTAACTCATTGTTAACATCTCCGCTTTCTAACAGCAACAGTAACAGAGTTGGAAGGGGTCTTGGAGGTCATCTAGTCCAACTCCCTGTTCACACAGGAGACCTATACTAATTCTGGCTGTCCAGACTCTTCTTAAAAGCTTCCAGTGATGGGGCACCAACAACTTCCGAAGGCAATTTGTTCCACTGGTTGATTGTTCACACTGTTAGGAATTTTCTCCTTCCAGGTTGCTTCTCTCCTTTATCTTCTTTTTTTTAGGAAAGAAGAGATAGATATTTTTAGGGCACAACCACTGATTACCTGCATTCTTGCAGTATTAATCATTTAATAGGATAAGCCAAAATTATTGTTGAAATACATATTCATGTGCCAGAACCAAATTTAGCTGATGAGTAACTTTTCCTCATACTCGACTGTATAAATGTGATAGGAAAGGAGACTGTTCCTTTACATCGTGTGTAAGGTCCAGAAATCCCAACATATACCCATTCTCCATTGATTGTTTTGATATTAAATATCAGGTAGCCTGACTTTTGCTATGGGTGCTCGTTTATAGCAATTGAAATTGGGATGTTGTGAACAGGGCCTGTACTTCAGCAGCACTCTTCTTTTGAAAGTCAGTGAAAGTCATAAGTAGCATCTCTGCCAAACTTAAAACATAAGGTCTTTTTTTTTTTTTTTTTTTTAAATCATGTCTTACCTTATTAAGCTTGGCAAATAAAGAATTTTCTTTCTGCGCCAACTTGGAAAGCTCAAACTGCCCAAGGAGCTGCTGATTCAGTTCTACAGAGGAATTATTGAGTCTGTCATCTGCACCTCTAACTGTCTGGTTTGGTTCTACAACCCAACGAGACAGACACAGACTTCAGAGGATAATTAGAACTGCAGAAAAAATAAGTGCTACCAACCTGCCTTCCATTGAGGACTTGTATACTGCATGAGTCAAAAAGAGGGCTGTGAAAATATTTACAGACCCCCTCACATCCTGGATGTAAATTGTTTCAACTCCTACCCTCAAAACAATGCTATACAGCACTGCACACCAGAACAACTAGACACAAGAACAGTTTTTTTTCCCGAATGCCATCACTCTGCTAAACAAAATTCCCTCAACACTGTCAAACTAGTTACTAAGTCTGCATTACTATTAATCTTCTCATCGTTCCTATCACCCATCTCCTCCCACTTATGATTGTATGACTGTAACCTTGTTTTTGGTATCCTTAAGATTTATATTTCCCTATGACTATCATTAAGTGTTGCACCTTATGATTCTTGACCAATGCATCTTTTCTTTTATGTATGCACCAAGACAAATTCCTTGTGTGTTCAATCACGCTTGGCCCAAAAAGAATTCTGTTCTATTCTAAATATTATACTGTCCTTCCAAACTGAGAAAGTGACCCCTTTTTCTCTGCAACTTTGTTCCCTTCAGATCCAGAAGCGAGTACCAGATTTCCAGCCCAAAACTTTGCTGGATTTCGGCTCGGGTAGCGGTGCTGTCAGCTGGTGAGAACCCCCTTGGAAGGGAGAAACTGCCTTTCTCGGCAGCAGTAGCAACAGTGAGACTTATCTCCCTAGTAGAGGGAATGAGTCACTAAAACAAGGGAAAGAGAGGGGAAGGCAATCTTTCGTTGGTTATGGCTTCACTGTAACATTTTTTTTTTTAAGGGGATGAATGCTGCCAAGCCAGCCATTGGACATGTGAACAAGTTTGGGTTAGGGCTCCTAATTTTCCTAAATAGGGACATTCTGAAAGTGGAGCTTCCCATCCATTTTGAAGAGGATCATGTGCAGGAATGCTTCCAAAATGGGGGGAAATCTGCAGCCAGGTCTCCATAGTCAGTATAATAGGAAGAACACAAGACTAGCGAAAAAGAAGTTCAAGCAGTATGCTTGTGACAGTGCCTTTCCATTGGGGGAAGCCAACAAAAGTGAATCTGGTGGGGGTTGGGGAGGTAATGTGTCTTCATATTTATAACATCATCATCATCCATCCATCCACCTATACATCCTTCTTATCCATCCATCTTTCCTATTTATCCATCTATACATCCATCTTTTCTCTTTATCTTATCTATCCATCCATTCTTCTTATCTATCCATCCATCTTTCCTATTTATCCATCTGTCCATCCATCTTTCCTCTCTCTCTCTATCTTATCTGTCCATCCATTCTTCTTATCTATCCATCCATCTTTCCAATCTATCATCCATCCATATCTATCTATCTATCTATCTATCTATCTATCTATCTATCTATCTATCTATCTAATCTATTCTGTTTTGCTTTTTTCTATACCTTAGGGCAGCCCATAGCATCTGGGGCGAAAGCTTGAAAGAATACATGAATATTGATTGCTCTCTTCCCATGCTGGCCCTGGCAGAGAAGCTGATGCAAGGTGAGATGGGGCCTGAGGCTGTCTTTTCCAAACCAATTTTTTTTTTCCTTTTTAATTGTTAGATCACCAGGTAACTTCCTTTCAATTAGGCCCCAAAGGTGGTTGCTCATCACTCTGTTCTTTTCCTGACGATCATACGCCTGTGCCTCCTTTACTTGTATTTTCCCTAGGTCCCCTCCAGGATCGCTTATTGGATTTCCACCTCTCACAGGCCCCTTTCTCTGTGGATTTACTGTTGTCTGTTTTCTCCCTAGGCATCTCTGAATCCCAAGAGCTCTGCTTTCCTGGTGTATACTTCAGGCAGTTTACCCCCGTTGGACCAAAGGTAAGTACAGTTCACACAGCTGCATTCCAAAGAGACAGAGTCCCAGAAGACTTGATGAATATACCATGCCAACTCTTGAGGGTTCTGTTGATCTATGGGTTGGGGATATTTAGTGCAACATTTTCCCTATGGAATCTTCCTAGCACTCTCACAAGAATTTACTTTACTGACTTATTTACAAACTCCACCTGATTCCACTGTGGCTTAAGTAATTGAAACTGATCTACTTTGGGTGCATTAATTTATAGGCTGGAAAGTTTTACAATAGTATTAGAAAATGTTACAAACTATTCATTTGGCTTGGATTTAAGAAAAAGGATTCATATGCAGAATATAAAAGAGAGATCTGTTTCCCAATATACATAGATATATTTACCTCATATAAATATTTTAAATAAATATATCTACAATTGTATGTATGTATGTATGTATGTATGTATGTATGTATGTATGTATGAGTGATGTTTCTGCATACATACATATAGTTGCACAGTTGGAAGAGAGAATGGATTGCCATCTGTCAGAAGTGGTGTAGGGGCACGGGTGAAATCCAGCAGGTTCTGACAGGTTCTGGAGAACTGGTACAGAAATTTTGAGCAGTTCGGAGAACCAGTAGTGGAAATTTTGAGTAGTTCAGAGAACCAGTAAGTACCATTTCTGGCTGGCCCCAGAGTGGGGTGAGAATGGAGATTTTGCAGTATCCTTCCCCTGCCACGCCCACCAAGCCAAGCCACCATGCCATGCCACCATGGCTACCATGCTATGCCCACAGAACTGGTAATAAAAAAATTTGGATTTCACCACAGGTGTAGGGTCTCCTGCTTGGATGGGGGGGTTGGACTAGATGACCTACAAAGTTCCTTCCGACTCTGTTATCCTGAAGAGCCATTTAAGGCATGGAGTCCAATAGCACACACTTTAGTGCAAGAATTATGAGAAAGGAAAGGGAATTCGTAATTATTTTAGTGTTGTACTTTTCCTCATGGTTAGAATAGTTTTCCAATAACCAACCATTCACAGCAATGTTTTTGCAAACTTGGCAACTTTAAGATATGTGAAATTCAATTCCCAGAATTCGCCAGCCAACATGTAGAATGATTGAATAAAATGAGAAGCTCTTATTAGGATGACTCTTTTAATAAAAATGTATTTGTCCTACCTTAACTGGATTCTCACGTTAGGCCTGGGAGATATATGGGTAAAGAGAGCATGCTGCATTTGAACCAAGATTTTAACCTTTGAAGCCAGGGACTCTTGATTTCTACCAATAGGCTTTCTCAGACAGAATTTGTAATTGGAGAATGGTTTAATTTCCATTTTCACCTTCTCCTCCATAGATGACATTTGACCTCACAGTATCCGCTTTCTCTCTCAATGACCTGCCAACCTATGGTCAGAGGATGGCAACAGTGAAAAACCTATGGAAAAAAACCAACAACTTTCTGGTAAGGAACATGACATGAATTGCCTGCGTGGATTCAGTCAGTTGATGCGAGATGGTTACTCTCTGCTCTGCCTTGAAACTTTGCCTGGTTCACCCGGAATGCTCTTTTGATAACTTCTTTGATTTGAGAGATAGCAGCCTGTCGATTATGGATCGCCCTTAACTCCCCTTTTTGCATTCTGCTGGGTGTTGCTGGCTGCAGGAAAGTTGTCCATCATTCTTTAGAAGGTGGTTGCTCTCCATGCTCTTCCTGATGCTGCTGCCTGAAAGCTGCTCCAGCCCCTTAACCCTCTTAATTGCCCTTCTTTGAACCTTTTATCCACGTTATTGGAGTCCTCATTCTTGTTAAAACAGATTTTCATGTGATAAAAACACACACCTTACCCTATTCTACCTTTCTCAAAAGAGGCAGGAACCAATAGTACTTGATCTTTGGCTGCATGAAAGAAGGTGTCTTCTCAGTACTTGGAGAAGTAGACTAGTATGGGAAGAAGGTCAGGATTTGACGGGAAAAAAAAGAAAAAGGAAGTGTTAAATTGCTGGAGTGACAACCTGAGTTGCATTTGGTCTGCAGGACCTCTTTTATTTGTCTACCCCTCCTCTGTTTTATATCGTTTTCTAGGTTCTGGTTGAAAATGGAACCAAGGAAGGCCATCAGATGCTCATGGAGGCCCGAGATGTCATTTTGAAGGCGAGTCACCTTTCTTCAGTTAATGGCATGCTTAAAAGAGGGGGGTGGGGGGAAGGTTGTAAAACGATGGTGAAAGAAAGATCATGCATCAGATATGTCTCATTAGATGGTTCTTAAATTGGGGATAGTTTTATGTTGTTTGTTTCTTTGAAAGTGAGGATACAATTAATAAGTACTAAATAATAATAATAATAATAATAATAATAATAATAATAATAATAATAATAATAATAATAATAATAAATAAGTAATAATTAATAAGCACTGTACACCAGAACAACTAGACACAAGAACAGTTTTTTCCCAAACACCATCCCTCTGCTAAACAAATAATTCCCTCAACTCTGTCAAACTATTTACTAAGTCTGCACAACTATTAATCTTCTCATCGTTCCCATTACCCATCTCCTTCCACTTATGATTCTATGACTGTAATTTTTTTGCTCGGATCCTTACTATTTATATTGATATTGTTTCCTGATTGCTTATCTGTACCCTATGACTATCATTAAGTGTTGTATCTTATGATTCTTGATGAACGTATCTTTTCTTTTATGTACACTGACAGCGTATGCACCAAAGACAAATTCCTTGTGTGTCCAATCACACTTGGCCAATAAAAAATTCTATGCTATGCTATGCTATGCTATGCTATTTTCTATTCATAAGTATCTGTTTGGATTTTCGTTCTCTCCCACATGCATTGCAGGTGTCATTTAATTGTTCCAGTTCTTCTTTACATCTACATGTTTATACAGGTTCTCCAAATCTGATTTAATTAAGCAGTGAATGGATTCTTCTCTCCTATCCTAATTGCAGGGAGAGTCACCTCTATTCTGAAGTGAGAATAAGGTGTGAACTTTCAGGATTCCCCTTCCCCCGTGCCACATTTGAGTGGATGGTGGTTTTTTTTTTTCTGCAGTCTTAATTTAATTTAAATGTTAATTTCCCAAATTATTTGTTTTGTTTTTGTCTCTGTTTATCCTCCAGGCTCTGAATAAGCTGTAGCAGTCATTCAAAAATCGTATATCATAGTCTGTGAGCCTCCATGTTAAGGTTACAGAAAAGTGTGGAGGTCACCATTTTTACTGATTGAAACTTTTTCATTTTGTTCTCAGGAGGCAGATAAAGTAAAAGAAGAAGCTCATGTTTTTGCTCCGGTAAGTACTGAATTCTATCCAGAGTTACATTTATCAAAGACATAAAAAAATGTCTCATCTGCTGTGTTGGACTTCAAGCCAGTCTTGTTTTGCTCTTGGGTAAAGGAGGGATTCAGCCTGGAAATAAGGAGAAATTTTCTGACAGTGAGAGCAGTCAACCACTGGAACAGAAGTTGCCTTCGGAAATTGTGGGAGCTTCATCACCGGAAGCTTTCAAGAAGAGATTGGACTGCCATTTGTCAGAAATGGTAAAGGGTCTCCTGCTTGGGCGGAGAGTTGGACTAGATAGCAATAGCACTTAGATTTATATACCACTTCATAGCGCTTTACAGCCCTCTCTAAGCAGTTTACAGAATCAGCCTATTGTCCCCAACAATCTGAGCCCTCATTTTACCCACCTCGGAAGGATGGAAGGCTGAGTCAACCTTGAGCCGCTGAGATTTGAACTGCCAAACTGCAGCTAGCAATCAGCTGAAATAGCCTGCAGTACTGCATTCTAACCACTGTGCCACCTCGGCTCAAGATGACCTACAAGGTCCCTTCCAACTCTGTTGATTTGTTTCAGGGTTGTTTTTTTAACGCCAGAATTCTTACTTTTCTGACTCTGAACCAGATCTTTGAATGTGAACCCAGAAAACATACAAATCTTGGCGTTCTTGTGTTCATCAAGGCTCAGGATTACTGAAACATAATAGCAATGGACTTCTCTCCTTTTACTTGTTTAGTGTCCACACCACTTGCCCTGTCCTCGCTTGTTACTGGATAATCCTTTGCCGTGCAACTTCCTCCAGCAGTATCAACCCCTGCCTTTGTCTTGGGTAAGTCTGCCTGCCTGCTTGTCTTCCCTTGAGAAGAGATGGGGTGATAAACCTGTGTGCTTAATGCGTTTTGCTCACACCCCCCACACCCTGGATACTACAACAGAAATCTTGGTGAACTAACTGGGTCTGAACAGACCAAATCAAGTCTGTGTCTTCTATTTCTTTGCATTGTGCTTCTACCATTCTTACATAACTGTGGGAACCATCTATAGATAGTCCTCAATTTATGAGCAGTTGCTTTGGGGAGGCCTTACAACAGGCCTCCCCAAAACTACTTAAAAAAGACCTGAAGTTCCGACCTCCTCCTGCTGCAGTCACATGATTGTATTTTGTCTTCTTGGCAACCAGACCATATTTACAATTGTGACCGCTATTTATGGTTGTGTGTGTGTGTGTGTGTGTCTTTGGTTATTTGGGTTTTCTCCCGTGTAAAATTGGAAGTGTCTTGGCGACGTTTCAACAAAGTCTCATTCGTCATCTTCAGGCTGGTGTTTTCAGCTTCGTGCTTCGTGTTTTCGTGAAGCCGAAAACACCAGCCTGAAGATGACGAAACGTCGAAACGTCTTCAAGACTTCATCGAAACATCGCCAAGACACTTCCAATTTTACGCGGGAGAAAACCCGAATAACCAAAGACCTACATACAAACACCCGCGAAAACCTCAGAAATACACACACACACACACACACACACACACACACGCAAGTCTTGGCGTATTCAGGCCTTTTCCCGTGTAGGATTGAGAGTATCTTAGCGACGTTTCGACGAGGTCCCACTCGTCATCTTCAGGCTGGTGTCTTCGGCTTCGTGCTTGTGCGAGCAAAGTGTGATTGGAGATGCTCGCACAAGCACAAAGCCGAGGACACCAGCCTGAAGATGACGAGTGGGACCTTGTCGAAACATCGCCAAGATACTCTCAATCCTACACGGGAAAAGACCCGAATACGCCAAGACTTGCACACTGTACCCGTGAAAATCTACGAAAACAGTTTTTAGCAGAAAACACCAATTAGGCCCAATGGGTTCACTTAATGACTATGGTGGTCACTTAACACACAAAACTAACACACAAACACACACCTGTAAAATTGGGCGTGGTCACGTAACTCAATATCGGCCTGATCTAAGGCCATAATTATTGACTGAATTATGGACGCACCTGTACATGAATGCTTAAAGCACTTCAGAACACAGCAGTCCCAATAAATACTTGATATTTATGCAGGATGTATTCATGTAACATGGATTGGGTGCAAAGCAAGGAATCAGAGCAGATAGTAGTGTGTGTTCAATTTCTGGCACTATTTGACATTGCGATATGACCCGTACACCTCCCAGCTCATTCCCAAATTATAGTTTACTTACAAAGAGATAAAAATATGAGATATGTGTGAAATAGTAGTCTTAGCTGTATTTTTATGTAATTTAAACCACAGTTAGTTTTTGTTCCTGGTCCTCACTTTGGCTTACAAACCCTCCTCCCAGAATACAATTTTAAGATTGTGTGAAGTCTGGAAAAAGGTAACATTTCCTGTTTGAATCAATTGATTGGATTTTCAGAAGATGCAGAACTAGGGAGTTGTAAAATTTGTGGAGTATTGTGGAAAACCCAGGCCAGGTCCTACCACATTGGATGAACCATATTAAGACATATGCTTTATTTGTTTTGGATTGGATGTTTTCTGAATAAAGCTTTGTTTTGGGATTAGGGTTGGGGTTAGAGTTTAATGGGTCATGAGAGCATAACCTCTGAGTATGCAAGTGGAATTCTTTGCAGCAAGAAAAGCAATTCAAGTGTGGGCAAATTAAATAAAAGACACTGCCAACAGAAACTCAAAATATATAAAGCCTAAAGTTAAATTGATGATTATTCCTGACATACATAAAGACTTGGAAACCATGACCCTGATCTGGAATACAGGTAGTCCTGAGTTAACTACTATAATTGGGACAGGGAACTCCTTCAACACAGTGACCCAGTTGTATATATATATATCATGTGATCACAGTTTAGAGTGGCAGTTCTGGTTATGGTTGTTATGCAAAATCAAAGGTAATCATTAAGCACAGTGTGACTTTACAGCAACTTTTACTTCTTGCCAGTTTCCTCATTGACTCATTGCCATTAGTGAAGGTCCCAAATGGCAGTCACATGACCACGGATACTGCAACCATTGTAATTGTGTGTCATTTGCTAAGCACCTGAATCGCAATCATATGACCATAGGCATGCTGCAATGGCCACAATGTTAAGGACCAGCCCAGGCTCCTTGTTTCATTGCTGTCATAACTTCAAACTATTGCTGAATGAGTGGCCACAAAATGAGGACTACCTTATTCTTTCTGCTGGATTGGGCCGATGAAAGCCCCTAGGCTTTCATGCACCAACCCAGAAAATAGCACTTAGACTTATGTACTGCTCCATAGTTTTTTACAGCCCTCTCTAAGTGGTTTACAGAGTCAGCATATTGCCCCCAACAACCCGGGTCCTCATTTTACTGACCTCAGAAGGATGGAAGGCTAAGTCAACCTTGAGCCAGTCAGGGTTGAACTCCTGGCAATTGGCAGAATTAGCCTGCAATGCTACATTCTAACCATTGTGCCATCAAAAAAAAATCACACATCAGCCTACTTCTGATAAAGTTTATGAGTTCTGGAGATAAATTGCACCATTTTGCACCCCTGTTTATTTGTTTGTTTAATGTTTTTGGCCACCCATCTTATTCAATGACTCTATAAATGAAAAAAAAACGAAGAGGTCTTAATCAGCTTTCTCTAAACTAGGTGGAGTGTGTTACAATTCCCTTGCAATGAAAGCCATCCCGGCTTGGAAACTGGAGAGTTGTAGCTGTAGATCTCCCATACAATTATAGTGGAGACTATCTACAAATCTTGAGATAAAAGAAATGCTACAGGATTCATAAAGATGCATCCCAAGGCCAGTTGTCCTGGTCAGATCTTTTTGTTGGCTTATAGATGGAAGTCAAACTTTATGGGGAGGCTTCCCTATCCCTATCCTACCCCCATATCCCCCCCCCAGATTTTACATTTTACACAATTTCAATTAGAATTTATATGTTGTTTCCCGAGGGATTCCTGGACTTATTGGAAGAAAATATGGCATCAGCAATTACTGTGTCAGTCTAACATTTCTGCTAGCTTTTCTTCCCTGGATTGTGAGAAGAAGGCCTAACTTTCTAAGCTCATTCTCTCCTATATGTGTGTGTCTCTGTCTCCAGAATCCTTCATACAAAATCGAGAAATTTTCTTTCTTGATCCTGGGCCGGGGATCGGGCAAGTCGATGGAGCCCTGGCCTCGCGTCACCCAACCTGTCCTTTGCCGCAAACGCCATGTCCATGTGCATCTATGTTGTGCTGATGGCACCCTTGAACATGCTGTTGTGACATCAAAGAAACATAGCAGGTACTCGATTCCCCCTCAAGGTGTAAGAAGTCCTAGATCCAGGCTCCGCTGCCCTGAAACCAATGGAATAATAGAATTGGAAGGGACCTTGGAGGTCTTCTAGTCCAACCCCCTGCTTAGGCAGGAAACCCTATACCACTTCACTCAAATGGTTATCCAACATCTTAAAAAGTTCCAGTGTTGGAGCATTCACAACTTCTGGAGGCAAGTTATTCCACTGATTAATTATTCTAACTGTCAGGAAATTTCTCCTTAGTTCTAAATTGCTTCTCTCCTTGATTAGTTTCCACTCATTGCTTCTTGTCCTGCCTTCAGGTGCTTTGGAGAATAATTTGACTCCCTCTTCTTTGGGGCAGCCCCTGATATATTGGAACACTGCTAACATGTCTCCCCTAGTCCTTCTTTTCATTAAACTAGACATACCCAGTTCCTGTAGCCATTCTTCATATGTTTCATCCTTGAGTCCCCTAATCATCTTTGTTGCTCTTTCTAGAGTCTCCACATCTTTTTTACATCGTGGCAACCAAAACTGAATGCAATATTCCAAGTGTGGCCTTGCCAAAGCATTATAAAGTGGTATTAACAGTTCATGTGATCTTGACTCTATCCCTCTGTTTATGCAGCCTAGAACTGTGTTGGCTTTTTTGGCAGCTGCTGCACACTGCTGGCTCATATTTAAATGGTTGTCCACTAGGACTCCAAGATCCCTCTCACAGTTACTGCTATTGAGCAAGTTACCACATATACGGTACCTGTGCATTTGTTCTTACCTAAATGCAGAACCTTACTTTTTTCACCACTGAATTTCATTTTGTTAGATAGCGCCCAATGTTCAAGTCTGTCAAGATCCTTCTGCATCTTAAGCCTACCTTCCGGAGTGTTGGCTCTTCCTGCCAGCTTGGTGTCATCTGCAAATTTGATGAGTTCCCCATCTATCCTTCTCCAAGTCATTGAGGAAGATGTTGAAGAGCACTGGGATTAAGATTAAGAAGTTAGCTCTAGATCCAGGGTTACATTCAAGTGCCCATGAATGTAGCTCTGGGGGTCATCACCTGTCTTTGCTTCTTGCAGGGATCTCTATCGATGTGTCTGGAACAGTAATTGTGGAGATCGGCTTCCTATCCTGACTACAGATATAAAATCCATTTCGGAGGACAAGTCAACTCTCAAAGACCAGATAAACGATTCTCAAAAAGTGAATACTGCTCCTTGCCAGGATCAGAATTGATGAGGTCCCTTCCGGAATACTTTTATGCTTCCTTTTGGTGTGTTCAGACTGGATGTCTATCTCAGTTTGCTGGTTTCCAGAATCTGAATTTCTTATGCTGTTCTTGGAGCTGTAGACCCAGAGTTGTTTCTGCTCGGTAGTGCGTGTATAATCAACAACATCAAAGTGTGGTATACCTCAGTCTGTGTTCTATGGATCATGGCGATTTTCTTGCAACAACTTTGGCCAGTATCAGATGTGGTGGATTTAATTCAGCTGTTTTTGTCTTGGATATTAATAGCAAGCCACGTCAGGTATCCAGAGATTTAATTAGCTGTGATTATGTTGGTGGGCAGTTTGAACATTCTCACAAGACACAGAGACAAGCCCTTTGGTCGACTTCTTCAGTCTTGTGCTCTACAAAGAATTTGGATTACAGATTCCAATTTGGCTGTGAGAGCTCATTGGGCATGACAAAGGCTTCAAGAACATGAGGGTGCCAGAATCTACACTGCATTTATCTCTTTCTGAATTATTCCATTTGGGTTGGAAATGGACTATTTAAATATTCTCATCCTTTTAAAACATCATCTATAAGAAGATTAACTGAAGGTGATAAAAAATTAGCTTATTAACATTTTCACAGACAGTAGGAGTGTGTTACACAAGAAATGCAGTAACACTCCCTTCCAGAGGAGTAGTAGAAGCCAAATCTATATGGGTCAGCATAATATTTTTCTGTTCTGAGTGACACTTGGGTGCCCTGAAACTCACAAATACGTCTCCTACCTAATTTTGGATTGGTTGATGAGCAGTTTCAAAAGCTTGGCTTGGTTGTGGTTGTTTTCTTCCTTGTTCTGCCTTCCTATTGTGTTATGTGTTTGGCTAAAGAAGAGAACAAATATTTTCCAACTTTTTTTTTTTTTTAAGAAAAGGTGTTCAAATAAAATGGCTTGGAGATCCTGAGTGAAGAGGAAGTGGAAAACAGTTTTGGCTTACTCTATGATGCAAAAGGGTGTGTGCTTATGACCACTTTATCTCATATCTCAGCAGGCTTTTTGTCATTGAACCAGGATGATCTTTTGTTTAGGCCACCAACATGCTCTGCTCAATGTTTTCTCCCTCCCTTCCCACAAATCATGTTGAGGGGGAAAAAAATTCCTTATCACTCAGATCTGTAGTACTCCCTGCCTGAGTCTGATTCCTATCTATCTATTGTCTATGAAAATTTTCAGTCATCTAGGTCCTGGTTGTCCCAAAAGTGCTTTTTGGTCTTTCTGTGTTTTTTTTTTCTTTGAAGACATTTTGCTTCTCATCCAAGAAGCTTCTTCAGCTCTGAGCTCTTGAAAAAGTACCTTTTGGGACATTCCTGTCCATTCTTCCTGAAGTCCAAATCTGGCTGCCCCATTTCTACCACTTTGATTTGAATGGCAGTAAGGAGAAATTGGAGGTCCAGTTTCTTAATCAGAAGAGGGTGCAGATTCTACTCAGTGATGCAGGCAATTATTTAGTGTAGCTTTGTATCTGTGATAGCAGTGTTTTTTTTAAAAGCCTGCTGAAATCAATCGAGTTAATTATAGTCTTTCTTGGTGAGAATGAATCATGTAGGTCAGGGGTGTCAAACTCACTTTGTCACGGCGTCTTCATGTGATGTATTTTTCCCCCTTCGCTAAACCAGACGTGGGCGTGACTAGCACGTGACGCATCCTGCCCATGGGCCGCGAGTTTGACAGCAGTGATCTAGGTCAGTATTATATAAACCTGGCAATTTTTAAAATGTATGGATTTCAATTCTCAAAATTGCTGGCTTTAGTCTCTCTTGCTGGTTGGGGAATTCTGGGAGTTGAAGTCCACACATCTTGGAAGTTTCCAGGTTTGAAAAACATCAGCCCATGGAACATTTGAGACTTGACTGGATTAAATTGGTGATCTGTCTTATCCAGTATTTTGTTTTAACCTAGGCAGCTCGAATTCCAGTTGGCTATTGCGTGTGTATAAAATAGATGTTGAGACTCTAGAAAGAGTGCAGAGAAAAGCAACCAAGATGATTAGGAAACTGGAGGCTAAAACATATGAGGAACGGTTGCAGGAAGTGGGCATGGCTAGTCTAGTGAAGAGAAAGACCAGGGCAGACATGATAACAGTGTTCCAATATTTGAGGGGCTGCCACAGAGAGGAGAGGATCAAGCTATTTTCCAAGGCACCTGAAGGCCAGACCAGGAATAATGAATAGAAACTGATCAAGGAGAGATTCAGCCTAGAAATAAGGAGAAATTTTCTGATAGAACAATCAACCAATGAAGCAGTTTGCCTTCAGAAGTTGTAGGAGCTTCATCACTGGAAGCTTTCAAGAAGAGACTAAACTGCCATCTGTCGTAAATGGTGTAGGGTCTCCTGCTTGGGTGGGGGGTTGGACCAGATGTCCCTTTCAACTCTGTTATTCTGTTCTATGTATCTGGATACCTGTTTCAAGTATTTGATGGAGTCAGGCAAAAAAAAAAAGAGAAGCTGGGTTAAGATTAACAATGGATTTAGATTAACTTTAAAATTAACTGAGATGAGTTAAAGGAAACTAATATTACCCTCTTTTTTGAATCCTTTTGGTCATAAATTACCGATATTTGATATTGGTTGGAGGGCTTTGGGGAGAGGGATTATATAATTGGAATTCCCCCCCCCCCGCCATTCAATCCTGAGATTTTCACCAGTTAAAATAGTGCATGACAGCTATCAAACAGAAAAGAAAGAGCATCCAGTGTGCACATATCCAGCAGTATCTTGGCCCCAATTAATTAACCATTAAAATTCTGCTAATACGTTGCTGACTTTGACAAAAACCAAAACTTATCAGCTTTTATGTTGCGGTGTATACATTAGCCTGAAACTTGGCTACTGGACTGGAGCTGTGCGGTTGTTGATTGGACAAAAGGTAAAGTACACACCATTTAACTGCTTTGCCAAGTGTGTTTTTTAAAATGGGTGTGATAAGGTTAGAGCAGATATCTCTGAGGGGGATAGTGAAGAAAAAAACAACCCTGACTTTTCAAGTCTCTAGGGTCAGAGGACAGTTACATTAAAGGACAATGTTGTAGCCCTGAAAGCAAGGAATTCAGCTGGGTCCTAAAAGAGCTTCACATGCCTTGGGAAGCAGCTTTGACTTAGGTTTAAAGAGGTTATGGTTGATGAAAGCAACCTGATTTAGAATTATAGACTTTTTAAAAAAATTATATGGGGAGAAATTTAAAGCACCCTTTAAATTTGCTGATGCTGATGAAGTGGAAGAAACTCAGCTAATTTTCTATTAGATCCCCATAAGGGTGAAATTTTTATTTTTCTCCCACCCAACAACACCTCAAAACAGCCAACCCATCCATGCCCTTTTCAGGAAAAAGAGCAGAAAAGAGGAAAGGACAACATAGAAGGCTCCATTGGCCACCAGTGAATCTAAACAGAATTTGGTTGAGCCAAAGCAAAGTTATTGAAACAAAGCAAAGAAAAGCCACTTTTCTAGACTATTTTTTTTTCATTTTCATTTTATTGAATTTATATACCGCCCTACTCCCAAAGGACTCAGGGCGGTGAACAGCCATAGAATAAAAACATATAAATACAAAATTTAAAATAGAATAAAACGAATTAAATAATTTGGCTGAACAAATTTAAAACCCCAATAATTTAAAACCAAATTTAAAATTTCCATTTAAAAAGGGGAAAGACTTAGGACAGGCCAGCTTGATGAAATAGGACACTCTTGAGCGCGTGACGGAAGGTACGCAGATCCGGGATCCTCTCTATCTCCGGGGGGAGCTCGTTCCAGATAGTAGGTGCCCCCACAGAGAAGGCTCTCCCCCTGGGGGACGCCAGTCGACTATCAGAATACTGGCACGGCATGAATGAAAAACGATGCTAGAGTGTTTCTCAACCTCAGCAACTTGAAGATGTGTGTGGACTTCAGCTCCCAGAATTCCCCAGCCCTCATGCTGGATTTCTGGGAGTTGAAATCTACATATCTATTGACGTTGAAAATACTGCTGAACTATGCCTTGTACATGGATGTTTTTTGCTGTCCATCTGGGAAAGTGTCCGTCCTCCTCACCCCCAACAATTGATAGGATTCTCCTTAGTTTTTGTTGGCAAACATTATGGGATGATGTTCCAAATGGAGGGAGCCACCACAGAGAAGGCCCTTCTAGGGAGGGATGAGAATAGCTCCTCAACTGGAGAGCCTTTGCTTGCCAGCATAAACTGATCTTCCCCAACTACAGGTAATCCTCATTTAGCAACCATAATGGGGACCAAAGATTTGGTCATTAAGCAAAGCAGCTAAGTGAAACCATGACTGCTTACTATCTTACTTTCCTTTGCTTTAAAAGACCTGTGAAGGTTATAAATACAAGGATTGGTCAAAAAAGTTGCTTTTTAAAATCACCATTGTAACTGTAAATAGCCACTGTAGGAAACAGTTGCTAAATGAGGACTACCTTATGTATGACCTTAAATGTTTGGGCTTCTTCATCTCATGCCAACGTAAGATTATAGGAGTTGTAGTTCAGATCCTTTAGAGCAATAACAATCCAGGGAAGTTCGAGGCAAGTGGCCCTTAAGCAATTTTATTATAAGACAACATCCAATATTTTGTAGACGGAAAAAGGCAGTTGGTTCCAATTATGACCCAAATGGTTAATTTGTTTCTTTACAATACATCTGGCCAAAGGTAGTGTTTTAGTCTTGCAATGATCAAGGTTTTAAACAGCTGTTACACAAAAAAAATTTTTTAAGAAACCCTGTCACATAAATAGCGTCCAAAGCTCTGGACAAAATGGTGTTTCATTTCAAGGTTTAAATCTTCCAACAAAGGAAATAACAGAAACTCAGGACAAGTCATTTTTCCCCCCTCTCAGAAATACAGAAGTAGCTGAAGTGGTAATAATCCCTGCTGTTTTATTTATTTATTTTGCTTAATAAAATGTCCTTGGCAAAAATAATAATAATAATAATAATAATAATAATAATAATAATGGGACAATAATTGAGTGTTTTTTAAAAATCTTGCTATCTATTTGCTATCTATTTTTTATTGGTAAAAAATTATCCTTTTAGGGGTTTATTTCAGTAGGTTATGTTGAAAGTAGCATTCCAGTGGACCACTAACCTCAAAACTCAGGACATCACAGGATTTTTTTTTTTTTTTACAAGTTACAACTAAACAAATTATCTGGAACATACACTGCTGTTTTTCTGTAGATGAATAGTAAAGGTGTTTCCATTGCAATAATGATACCGTAAAAAGGTTTGAAAAACACTGTGTCTTTTTTTTTTTTATGCAAACAATTCAAAGTTTTCCTTTTTTTTTTTAACTGCTGTATCCAATACTATGTTCCAAAGGCCACCCTTGCTACCTGAAGAACTGAGGAGCAAAGTAGGAGTAATCTCTAATAGTAAACTATGTGAAATGGGTGCTATACCTTTGATGTTTATTCTGACGTGTGTGTATCCAGTAGGGCTATACCACCTAACAAATGAGGGCATTCAGATTGTTGCTTTCATTAACTTAACAGCTTTGGTATGAGTCCTGATGCTGCTGGATTTTTTTAATTTTTTTTTTATGCTGATGGAGCAGCTTGGTTTTACCTTGAATTAAAAGGGAGGAGTCAGGCTGGAAGCTGTAATCTTGAAATACTTCTGCATTAACGTAATCATCGAAGCCTGCTTGCAGTCCATAGAACCAAAAGGTTGATTGGGAAAAAAAAATAGTAAATCGATTTAGCATTGATTCTCTAAGTCAACCTGGTTTGCCTTTTTGCAGATGGTAGTGGCTCAGTGGCTAAGATGCTGAGTTTGTCGATCAGAAACGTCAGCGGTTCGAGTTCCTAGTGCCCTGTAACGGGGTGAGCTCCCGTTACTTGTCCCAGCTTCAGCCAACCTAGCAGTTCGAAAGCACATAAAAAAATGCAAGTAGAAAAATAGGGACCACCTTTGGTGCTGCAATGGATCTTCACTGGCAGAATGCAATTGTTCGACTTACCAATTATTATTGGTATACCAATTATTAAGTTTGCTGCTTGGATGTTGTGCCAATCTTGCTTAGGGAATCTTTCCAAAGGAGAAAAGCAACCTGCTCATTCACATACCTATATATTTAGAAGAGGGGTACACAGGGCCTGCCAGGAACTGTTGCATTCCAAGTCCCATCATCCTGAAACCACATGGCCAGTGATCAAAGGCGAAGAGTGTTGTTATCCCTTACCTCTTTGTAGGAGTTGGTTGTGAATTACTTCATTGAATAGGTAGCAAACTTGAAGAAATCTTTCAAAGCTTCATTTGGCAATACAATTGCTTACTTGGAAAAAAAACCAGTCTATTTTGCAAAGGTGGGTAGTATAACCTTCAGGGCTCATGGAATTTTTTTTTATCCCTTTTCTCCACCCACCCATGTATAGAATAGTTCATACATGGAGCAATTAGCATAACTAATTGCCATTCTCACTGCAGCCTTCGCTGCCTTCTGCAAAAATATTAAGGCTGGTTCCAGCCACCCAGATCTTATCCTTCCTGTCGTGGTTTTAGCCTTACGTTGAATAAGTCCACAAAGAATTCTAGTTAATATAAGTCCATGTGCTGGATACATGCCAAGCTAAGCCACGGGTTGCTCTGTGCTACTTTGCTGAATGTTTTTTAGGGTTCAGATTTTTCACATTTTGCAAACTATATTAAGTTCACATAACATATTTAACCACGTATAGCTTAGCATCCTGGATCTGTTACATTATCTGAAGAACTATTGCGACTTGTACTTGATATAGTTTTTGTGATTTCTGCCCAATTTTTCCAGGAATGCAGACTGCCTTAAATTTATCATCTTTTGTTAGAACTACTATAAAATTGGGTGCATTGCATAGTAAATGACATGATTCATGCACTTATGGATTCTGGTCTATTTGGAGATCACTTCAATTTTTTTTTTATTTTCTTTTTTGGTTAAGTTAACAAACTCCAATTTTAATTACTCATTTTATTGGAAATTTGGAGGCGGAGCCCTTGTCTACTGCTACTATGGCCCAGTGACCTTAAGTTTATGATGAAAGTTTCCCTGACGAGCTGTTTCCTATAAGTGAAGCATGGTGTTTTAAAGTTTAATAGAGCAATTGGAATGGGCTGGGACACCAAATTGGTGGGAGGTTCCCTTGTGGAGTATCAGGGTGATTATTCACAGACATCCAGAGAAGTGTTAAGAACTGAAGGAAGATGGAATGGAAGCAAGCAGAGGGGAGAAGAACCTGGTGAGAAGGAGACAGGAGAAAGGAGGAAAGATGGAATAGAAGCAGCAAGGCTTCAAGAAAACTAGGACAGTGGGAGAACAGGAAGAAATTAGGAGAATGGAAGTCATTGTGAAGTGGAACTAAAAAGAGACTGAAGATAAAGAAGAAACCAATACACTTTGGAGCTTTCAAGTTTGCCGTGGGGTAGAGGTGGACTTCATGAGTGCACAAGAGTGGATATCTTTCCTTGATCTTTGGTTTACTAAAGGAAGAAGGTCTGCAGAGTGAGAAGGATTTCTTCGCTCAAGACTAATTAATTGGCCTGAGAAGTTTTAGGAGCAGATTGGCCTGAGAAGGACCAAAAGCAACAGGAGGTGATCCTTATTTTGTTCTTCAACTCTTCAGCCCTCTTCCTTCCAGTTGCAAAGATGGATCAGTTGTTGGCTGTGAAAATTGGATGCCTGGCAGGGGTGCTGCTCATCACTCTTTTTTGCGGCCTCATCCCAGCCCAGATCAAGTGGTTCCACATCAACATGGCCAGAGGTGAGACATTTGGAGGTGTCATGACTTCCAAGATGTTAGGTTGGAACTAAGATAATAGAAAATGTGGAGATGACATCCTAAAAAAATTGGGATTCATTCTTTTTCTCGTTTTTGTTATGAATCCATTCATTTAAACCAGGAGTGTCAAACTCAAAGCCCAGGGGCCGGATCTGGTTCACGGGGTGCTTAGATCTGGCCCACAGTGCTCTCTGGAAACAGTGAAGGACCGGCCCGTGGTGCCTCTGCCAGCAAAAATGGAGCTCGGGAAGCTCCATTTTCTCTGGCAGAGGGTTGCAGGAAGCTGTCCTAGCCGAAAGCTGCTCACAAGGGCCACACAGCCTCCCACCCCACGAGCTCTGTTTTCACTGGCAGAGGGTTGCAAGAGGCTGTCCCATCTGAAAACCGAGCTTGGGAGCCTGTTTTCACTGGCAGAGCGCCCCTGACACGAGTGACGTCAATCTGGTCAGGCCCATCTTGTCCAGACCCACCCCAGCGCCCCAACATCAAACACAACCCCTGATGCAACCCTCAATGAAATCGAGTTTGACCCCCCTGATTTACACAGACCCTAATTTGTGATTGGGGTGAATTTTTGGTGACTCAGTATCCTTATTTTGTCTCTGAGATTTTAATGACAACATTGGCACGTACGGCACTTTATAAATCATAGGATTATAGGTTATTACTTTTCAGGCAGAGGAGCACAACTTGAAGTTCAGTGACTTAATAAGCTTTCCCAAAGCCTTTAATTTAGCCTCCTTTACTTTTATGTGAAGATAAGTTATTGAATGCTTTAAACGAGTCATATTAAGTATAATTAATTTTAATAAGTTAAGGCAGTGCTTCTCAGCCTACACCACTTTAAGATATGTGGACGTCAACTCCCAGGATTCCCCAGCCATGATGTATTGACTGGAAAATTCTGGGAGTTGGAAGTCCACACATCATTAAATTAGAAGTGCTATATTGAAGACATTTAGAGTAAACCCAGATTGTGTTCAGAAATGTCTTTATGGGTCTCAGCACAAGAAGCATTTCATAGAAAAGAATCAGCATTTAACCTATTGAAAATTGTGAGAACAAGAGAATGGAGGATATAAGATGAAATAAAAAGATCAGTTGACTACTTATTTACCGTGTTTCCCCAAAAATAAGACCAGGTCTTATATTAATTTTTGTTCCAAATGACGCATTAGAGCTTATTTTCTGGTTAGGTCTTATTTTGGGGAAAATACGGTACTAAATGCACCCATCTGGCTGACAATCTTAACTCGGGCTTATTTTGAGGGTAGGGCTTATATTACGAGCATCCTGAAAAATCATGCTAGGACTTATTTTCCAGTTGGGTCTTATTTTCAGGGAAACAGGGTGTTTGTTTGTTTGTTTATATTTGTATGGCCATCCATCCACTCTCGGTGACTCTGGGTGGATTATAAAAATGCCAATATACAAACTTAAAAAACAGTAATCACCTACCTATCCTGGTAATGACGATCAATCAAACAAGCCATTTGATGGGTTCCATCCCTTTCTGGGTTCTCCAGACTCGTTGGCAAAACCAGATCTTCTGAGCCTTGAAAAAGAGTGTCAAAGTGCCAAATTTCCACAGGGTTGATGTTCCAAAAGGAGGGAGCCACCACAGAAAAGATCCTTCTTGTTCTCCTTAGGAGAGGACACTTATAACATTCCCTGTTGTCATTCCCCCCACTCAGTTTTCAAGGTATTTCATATGTACAATTAAGAGAAAGATTTGAAACCTATAAATAAGGTATTTGGAAATCGAACAGCACAAGACAGAATTTGAAACTGTGCAAATTTTATACACGTACAAATGATGATTTCTAAAATATAAATGACGATTTCTAAAATTTCTAAAACTTTTTTTGAAATTTGAAATGGGAGAACAAGTGAAAGGCTTATGATAAAAATAAGCTAAGAACTTTGGACACAATATGCTGATGGAACAATGGTAAAATATGCGACCAAAAGGGCTGAAATTAACATTACGTTATAATTTAAAAGAGAACTTTTATAAAATGGTATGCCATTGCCGTACGACTCCAGAAAAATTATCTAGAATGTATAAAACTACTTCAAACCTATGTTGAAAATGTGGAATAAATGAAAGGTCATTGTGTCCTATCTGGTGGACTTGCAAAAAACCCCCAGAGAACTTTGAGTTTAAATGCATACAGGTGATACAAAGAATTTTAAAGGTTGACATTCAATTGAAACTGGACCTTTTCTTGTTGGGACTAATGGATACACAGAAAAGAGTTCTGGAAGATTAGTTTTATATATGATAACTGCTGTGAGTTTATTATATGGACAAAAATGGAAAGACTCTGAAATACCCACAATGGAGAAATGGTTGGTGGAGGTGGGGGAATTAGCAGAGATGGTAAAATTGGCTTACTTGATTAGAGAAAGGAAAATAATCACATTTATTAGTCACTGGAAATTCCATAGGGACTTTTTGTTGAAAGAGGGAAAAAAATAAACTTGTGATGTATGGATTTGATGAGTGGAAAGAGTAGACTATGGAAAGAAGGTAATTATAAGATGGGGGGGGGGAAGAGAGGGAGGGAAGGAGAGAGAGAGAGAAAGAGAAGTAAATTAAGTGCTGTTAAAGAAACCAGAAGCTAAATATAAATATAACCTCCTTCTCTCCCTCCACCTCTCCTGCTCCCTCTCTCCTCTTTATTAAATGTGGATACTACCCATAATAAATATGAGATTATTTCCCCCCCCCCCCACTTCTGTGTCTTTCTTTGCATTTTCCCACCTACTACATTCCTTTCCTTAATTTTCTGTTTCAAAATTTGTATGGTTTATGCCTTTAAAAATATTTAATAAAAATTATATATAAAAATTGTCATCACTTTTAATCCTGTTGAAAGGTACATTAAACCCTTTTTCATTTTTTTTCTCCTGGCCCTTCCCATTTCTTTGTCTTATTCCTGCCTACCCTTTGGAATAAGCAATGTAGCTTTACTATTACATTGTTTTTTTTAAACAGCCAAGTATCTTTCTATGTCAGAAAATTCTTCATCAGCTTTGGCACAGAAACAAACAGCAAAACAAGAGGGTGGAAGTGGAAGAAGGCATAGATAGATTAATATGTATAAGTAACTAGAAGTTTCAGGTTTGCACAATCCCAAGCATAAAAACTTGGATGCAGAACAATTGGATGTAAATGCAATCAGAATCAACACTCAAAGCATTATACAAGGTGTAACCTTGCTTAACCTTATAGAAATCCAAATTTACTGATCGAAATCCAGGACAGTCCTCAACTTACAACAGAATTGAGCCCAACGTATCTGTTGCTCCATTTTACGACCAATTGTTAAATGAATCACCGCAGTTGATAAGTTAGTAGCACAGTTGTTAAGTGAAGTGTTAAGTTTGCAAAAGGAGCCATTTGGGACGCCGTAATTGTCATAAATACATGCCAGCTGCCAGGTGTCCTGATCACATGACTATGAGGATGCTGCGACGGTTGTAAATGTGAAAAATGGTCATAAGTCACATTTACAAGGAATGTTTGTAAATCAAGGACTACCTGTAAAATGTGAGTAGAATGTCAATAGGATTTGAAATAAGTAGCTTGGATCATTTCTTTTTCATTGGGTGTTGAAGTTAGGGTGATAGGCCTATTTATTTCTTCATGCTAACTTTGTCCATACATTTATAGCCAGCAACTTTCCAAACCAGGCAGCCAGGAATCTTTTTTTTTTTAAATTTATAAACTTTATTAACACAAATATAAAACACATATAACAAAAATATTAAAATACATTGTACAATAAACAATTATAAGTAATCAATTATTTGAAGCGTTTGTTACGTAATGGTCTTTCAAGTAGTATAGTAATACTTATTCCCCTAAATCTTAATTTAATAATTTCTTTTTGCCTTTTCTCCCTCTCCTTTCTAAGACTTCTCCTTTAATAATCTATATATTATATATTGGGATTATACCTTTGCTTTCTAGGCTTCTCTTTGTAAATTTATTTGCCCATAAAAAAGGAAGTGTTTGCATACACACTTGTATTTCTATTCTATCTAACTTCCAATTATATTTCTTTCGTAGTAGCTGTATGCCATTGATACCATTTGTTCCAGACTTTATAAAATTCTGTGTCTTCTTTTCCTTTTAGCTCTTTTGTCAGCATGTCCATTTCAGCATACTGTGTAATTTTATCCATTATTTCTTCTTCTGTCGGGGTTTTTTCCAGTTTCCAATTTTTGGCATATGTTATCCTCGCTCAGGCAGCCAGGAATTTTTTATTTCTCTTCAGAATAAAAAAAAAAAGTAGTAAAATCTCATTAAGTAAGAATGAGGAAACATTCAGCTTTTCTTACCTTTGTCCTGATAAAAATCTGGTTATACGTACAAGTATGTGACTTGAAATGAAAGAATCTTTATTCCTTCATTTATGGGAATCTTTATGGGAATCTTTATAGGACGTTCACAGCAAAACTTTTAGTTCTGGAAGAACAAATAGTGGAAAAAATTCATCTTCCAGATTTAAAGTTAGGAGAAAAGGTTCTCAGCCATGAACGGTCTTGCAAAAATGAGTGGGAAAAAATAAAAATAAGAATGGTTGAGCATCTTTGTTCTCGTATCACGTAAAACAATGAGATGAATTGTGTTAACTCCTTGGTGAAATCTTCCTACAACTTCATTCAAGGTTGGTGAAACAAGGTAGGCACAAGGCACGGGTGGGCTTCTCCGGGTTCTCCCGGGTTCAGGTGATCCTCTAGCAAAGAGTATGCGCAGTTTGGCGAACCCCCAAATCCCACTCCTGATTGGCCTCTCCCACCTCGCCACTCCCAGGAATCTCCCCACGGCCCGTTTTGGATGTCAGGTAAGTGCAGGGCCTTCATGGAGGCTCAGGGAGGACGAAAAATAGGCCTACCGGAAGCTCCGGAAAGCCAGAAATGGGCCCATTTCCAGCTTCTGGAGGGCCTCCAGAGCCCGGGGAGGACGTTTT